CGAATACAAGCACTATCGTACTAGCAGCAAGCTGGACCTCGACTGCTCGGCACAACGATGAGGTTGCAAAACATATGGGCGGCCGCATCGCTGCTCATTCTAGGTGTAGCGGCCCAATCGAATGTCACAGATCAGAAACAATCACAGCAGATATTACAGGTTGACTTCAAGCCTCCGCAAGTTTTCGAGAACGTCAATCTTGTGCGGACGACGAACCTCGAGAAGGGTTATGTGAGGGAGACAGTCAACGTGGTCGTGTCGAATGTGGACAACAAGCCTCAGTCGGAGTACTACCTGCCGTTCGAATATGATACTATCGGCAAGATTGGTGGGATCGAGGTGCGGGATAAGAAGGATGCTGCCAAACCAGCGTTTGGCGTCAGGCTGGCTGGTATGGTCTCTGTGACAGGTGCTGATGGGACTACCACCAAGTATGGCCACGGGAGAATGAGTGTAGACCTAGGCTAATGAGGAGCAGACCAAGCCAGTACTACATCATCACATTCGCAGAACCACTCGCACCCAAAGCACAGCTGACCCTCTCGATATCCTACTACGTACTGGGTGCACTGACACCCCTGCCGGCACAAATCCAGCAGCAAGACAAGCAGTACCTGACCTATTCGTTCTCCGCTTACTTCCCATCTGCCTACCCTACTCTGAAGCAGAAGACCAACGTTAAGTTCTCCTCAGCAGACATTCCAGAATACACGACCACGACTGGTCTGACCAAGAGCAAGGATCCGGAAGTGCAAGGGACAAAGCTCACATACGGACCATACGATGGCAAGGTCGAGGCTGGTGCAGTACACCCAGTCACTGTACGGTACGAGTTCACGAAGCCCGTTCTAGTTGCTTCAGTGCTAGAAAGAGACGTCGAGGTGTCGCACTGGGGAGGCAATCTAGCGGTTGAGGAGCGATACTGGCTGCGCAATGACGGTGCTACGCTCAAGGACAACTTCAACCGAGTGACCTGGGCCACACAGAACTTTTACCAGCAGGCGCCAACCTCAGCATTGAAAGAGCTGAAAGTGCCACTGAAAGCAGGAAGTGCAGATGCCTACTTCGTCGACGATATTGGCAATGTGTCGACATCTCGATTCAGGCCGAGTGAGGTACGTGATGCAAGTCTTGAGCTGAAGCCCAGGTACCCAGTGTTTGGTGGATGGAAATATAGCTTCAAGATCGGCTGGAACAATGCTCTCAGCTCATTCGTGCGAAAGCTGAAGACACCAAGCGACACGTACGTCCTTGCGGTGCCTTTCGTTGAGGGTCCAAAGATGCCAGAAGGTATCCAATACGAGCGTATGGAGTTTCGAATCGTCCTCCCGGAAGGCTCAAAAATTGTGAATTGGGAGATAACAGGAGCCAACCTGCCCCTTCTTACCGAGAGCCGGAGCCTTCACAAGACGTTCCTGGACACGCTGGGGAGGACGACTCTGACGCTATCTACTACCAATGTCGTGGATGACCTACGAGACATGGAAGTGCTCATCAGCTATGAGTATTCTATGGCTTCTGCATTGAGGAAGCCGATCAGCATTATTGCTGGTTTCTCCAGTGTATTTGTTGTTGCATGGCTTCTGAGTCTGGTTGATACGAGTATTGGAAGGAAACAAAAGTAGATAGATTGTACAATATCATTACTTTTCGCCGGACAGCATAGCTTTTTCCCGTGAAGCATCGCCTATCTCCTTCGTTGTTGAGCAGCAGAAGAAATAATACAAAATCCCGTTAAACGGCGGCACGTTTCTTGCGCTGCCTTTTTATTGGATGAAGAGGCGAGCGAAGATCTCCAAGCCATGCTTGAAGATCATCGGCCAGCGCATGTCACTGGTTCTTGCCCGTTTACCAAGCAAAAGCTCTGCGAGGGAAGCTGGCACCAGAGCTTTGTTATGCAGATTCTTGTCCTCTGGTGTTCGGTTTAAGGTTCTCGTACAACAATAGATCGTTTGCAGCGAGTTACCTTATGTTGTCGATTTAAAACATAGCAGGATACCAGCATGAAGTATGCGAACCTGGATACCCCACACGTATGCGAGCATCATGTGCTAACATTCCATTTGCAGATTCGGCCAGCAGCTTCGACAATCCTTGATCAAGGACTACTACTGGCATTACATAGATTATGACGGTCTCAAGGAGGCCCTGAAGAAGCCTAGCAAGAGCGGTAGCGACGGCGAGAGAGAAGACTGGACCGACGACGATGAAGCGGCCTTTATCCGACAGCTCGAAGGAGAGCTCGACAAGGTCTTCACCTTCCAAAAGCTAAAGAGTAAAGAGATTATTGGTCGGATACAATCTAGCGAAGGAGAGGTCAAACAGGTGGTCGAGCGACAAGATGAGCTTAATCGGGCTTCAGATGCTGAGACGGACGACAGTCTTGAGGAGGATTTTGAGGCGCTAGAGGCCGACCTGAGCGATGTTATTGCTGATGTGCATGATTTGGCCAAGTATACCCAACTCAACTATACCGGCTTCCAGAAGATCATCAAGAAGCACGACAAGCAGACTTCGATAGCTCTCCGACCGACCTTCGCTACCAGACTGAAAGCAAAACCATTCTTCCAGGACAATTACGATGCATTCATAGTCACCCTCTCGAGGCTGTACGATATGGTCCGAACGAGGGGGCAGCCAATCAAGGGAGATAGTGCTGCAGGAGAGAAACAGCAGAACTTTGTCAGACAAACCACAAAATACTGGGTGCATCCGGACAACATTACAGAGGTCAAGTTGATCATCCTCAAGCATTTGCCTGTGCTGGTCTTCAACCCAAACAAGGAGTTCGAAGAGAAGGACTCGGCCATTACCTCGATCTACTACGACAATGTCGATACCTGGGAACTGTACGAAGGTCGCCTTAAGAAGACCGAAGGTGCTGAAGCTATTCGTCTACGATGGTATGGTGCTATGGAGAACGAGACTATTTTCATGGAACGAAAGACGCATCGCGAAGACTGGACAGGTGAGAAGTCGGTCAAAGCTCGGTTCACCCTCAAGGAGAAGAATGTGAACGCGTTCATGGCAGGCAAGATGAGTGTAGAAGAGGCGTTCGCGAAGATGAGGAAAGACGGCAAGAAGGGCGAGAAGGAAATCGCAGACCTTGAACAGCTTGCTCGCGAGTTTCAGTACCGAGTCATCACAAGAAAGCTTGTTCCGGTCACACGATCCTTCTACCACAGGACTGCTTTTCAGCTACCAGGTGACGCTCGAGTCCGAATCTCGCTTGACACAGAATTGACCATGACCCGAGAGGACAACTTGGACGGAAGAAAAAGAGCAGGCAAGAACTGGCGAAGGATGGATATTGGCATCGACTGGCCGTTCTCACAACTCCCTGCCGAGGACGTCGAGCGGTTTCCATACGCTGTCCTCGAAGTCAAGCTCCAGACGCAAGCAGGCCAAGAACCACCACAATGGGTCAAAGACCTCACCTCATCACATCTCGTTGAGGCAGTTCCTAAATTCTCCAAATTCATTCACGGTACAGCAACCCTGTTTCCGACCAGGATCAATCTATTGCCTTTCTGGTTCCCTCAGATGGACGTCGATATTCGCAAGCCAATCACCCACCGCTTCGGCATTGAGCGACCAGCCAACACAGCTTCCTACTCGACAAGTGACGCAGAAGACGACGACAGTGACGATGAATACGCCCACCAAACAGGGCAAGCTCCTCCAAGAGGTACCGAACAAGATGGCGACGATGACGACGAGGGCCATAGGAGGCTCCGTGCTGCCCGCGCTGCATTGGACGATTTCCAAGCTGAGACAGAGCGTGCAGATCACGAAGATGCACACCGCGAAGCTCATCCGAATGATGAACCTCGAGCACCCGGAAACGCTTTGGACATCGAAGAGCGTATTGCACAGATGCCGCTAGTTGACGAAGAGTACCTCTACGACTCAGAGGAAGAAGAATCGCCTGACGACAAGTTGGAGGAAGCCAAGCGTTCAGGGTCGTGGCACTATTACCCGCTCCTTCTGCAGCATCATGTCGTCCTTGTCGAAAACTTCTTTGGACGGTTACTCAGGAAGGTACCCACCACAACAACAATGCCTAACCGTGGTGGTATGGGATCAGTGAATCCTCAGGGTCAAGCTGTACAAGGCACAAAACGCTTCAAGGCGCCGCCAGGCAAGAAAATACATGTTCCAGTTCGAGTCGAGCCGAAGGTGTATTTTGCTACCGAACGGACGTTCCTGTCCTGGCTTGAGTTCTCGATCATTCTTGGCTCAATTGCTGCCACACTGGTCAATTTCGGCGACAACATAAGTTTGGCATCAGCTTGGGGATTCACAATTGTTGCTGTTGCTGCATTACTGTACAGTGTCGTTATCTATGCATTGAGGGTGCGCATGATCCGGAAACGGAGGGCTCAAGTCGGTGGACGGTATTACGACAAATGGGGCACATCGTTGCTGTGTGTCGGATTGTTGGCTGCGACTGCTGTTTCGTTTGGTATACGGCTGAAGTATGGAAGTGATGAGCCGCTGAAGGGCAGGGCCATGGTGAACCAGAGTAATGTTTAGCGACTTCGGAGGAGCCTCTTGTCGTATCAATACATAGCATTACTATAAATCTTGCATAGCGACCTCACTTCAGCGAGACTCTCCTTCGTGTTCTCCAAAAGGTCGAATTTGTGGTACGATCAGCCATCGCATCAGATCGAGGACGTCAATGTGCGTTGAACTGGATGATAAGTCTTGAGCCCTAGTCACGTGTTCTCAAATTCATCCCTGGAGACCCCTCGAGCAAGACACTATTGCCATGTACCAACGTATTCCATATCGAGCATCTGGTAGCAGACTTCTTCATTACAGCATTCGTCCTTCGGGAGATCATGCTATTCGATCCACGTCCAGGCACCGACATCTCCTGGTATTGCCCTGCAGATCGCGGCAGCCACAGGGCTCAGAGGTGAGCGTTTTTGTGCGTTACATAGGAAACGATGGCAAATTTTTGCTTCACAATTCAGTCTCAGCCTGTCAAACAGGCCTTGCTAGCTCAATCGGTAGAGCGTCAGACTCTTATCAAGAATTCTTGGCATTATCTGAAGGTTGCGGGCAAGTTTGCACGAATTTGAGTCGAAAAATCAATACTAACCTTCAATTTCAGGTTCGACCCCCGCGTGAGGCTCAATTCCTCGCAGTTCTAAGGTTCAAACCCTTGGTGTTCGATTGCCTTTTTGCTTTTTGGGCGATTTTGATGGATTTTTGTGCGAGCTAAGGACGATGATCGCGGGCCGACAACAGGCGAATACTAGTAGAGGCGGCTTCCAGCGGGCTTGGCGCCGACGACGAGCTCCAGAGTGTCGCCAAGGTTCCGTACGTCCATATGAAACAAGCTTGGAGTGCTCATGCCAACCTCAACCTGTGTCACAAGGTCTCATTAACTCGACATCCTCCTTAGTCAACCCAAGGTCACTGCATATCCTTGAATATCAGGTACTTGGTCGCGAAATACTACTGTTAATTTTCCCAAGCATTGTGGTAGTGGCTCTATGTTTTGACGAGGAAGACCACTTCTTGAACCTCGGACGGAGAAGACAACTTTCCTATGATCCCAACCTGACCTTAGGTTACACACGCACCCAGACCTACGACGGCGAAGATCTGACCCAACTCGTCAAGAGTCAACAGATAGTGCGAATACAGCCAGGCCTCTGAGCGGCAACCCACAATGGCGTCTTCCTCAACCCCCAGCAAGCCTTCAATAGGTATCTTGTCCATAGGAGACATGGGTATGGGCATCGCGAAGCTCCTACTAGCTCACGGCTATGAAGTCATGACAGTCTCAGCAGGCAGAAGGCAAGCGCAAGCCAGTTGACTGTTCTTCCTCTGCTGACTTCGTTAGTCGACATACTGTAGACCGGATACGCGCAGCAAAGATCACAGACGTGGCATCTGACGACGATCTACTCGCACAAGCGGACATCATCCTCAGTATCGTTCCACCACGAGACGCCCTCGCTACCGCCAAAAGAGTAGCTGATGCTTGCAAGTCCGCAGCGGCAGCAAGAAAGGATAGGAAAGGCTCCGACTCAAGCGTCATGTACATCGATCTCAACGCCATCTCACCCAGAACGGTCGCAAAAATCTTCTCACTCTTCCACTCTGTCCCAGAGACTCCACCAGCTCCGTCAACACCGTCCCTCGCCCGCCGTCTGACGAGAACACTCTCACTCGCGGGTCAGCAGCTACAGGACTCCAACTCCGAGACGCCGCCGCCCCCACCAATCACGATTAAATTTCTAGATGGCGGGATAATAGGCTCACCACCATCACGAGAGAAGGACAAGTCCAAAGATAACGCCGATTCAGCTAGCAGCTCCACATCCGGCGACGCATCTACCTCAACCACAACCTGGAAAAGACCCTCCATACCCGTATCCGGACCTCACGAATCAATCCTCTCACCAGACCTCATATCAACACTCAACATGAAGTTCGTCTCCGACAAAATCGGCACAGCCTCCGCCCTCAAAGCCTGCTTCGCCTCCCTCACAAAAGGCTTCACAGCCCTCAGTATCCTCTCCTACACCACAGCCGCAACATGCGGTGTCCTCCCCGAACTCAAATCGCATCTCGACGAGTTCGTGCCTGGTCTGTCTGAGCGCGCTGAACGTGGAATGACGGGGATGCCGCCTAAGGCGTACCGCTGGGTCGATGAGATGCGGGAGATTGGGAAGACGTTCAAGAGCTCAGGGGGGATGAAGTTTGGTGGGGAGCTGTTTGATCAGGTTGGGGAGGTGTATCGATTTGTTAGTGAGGATACGGTGCTGGGGGGTGAGAGGGTGGGGAAGAGGAAGAGGGGGACGACGGTGGAGGATGTGGCGGAGTGTGTGGAGGAGGGGGTGCAGAGGAAGATGCAGAAGGGCCATCCTAAGGATGAGAAGTTGGAGTTGGCTTGGAGGGGGAGTTGGGGGTTGTGACGGGGATGGAGGTATGCGGTACATGAAAGATGAGATATGATTTGCTACATGCAGAGGTGCGAGGCGTTACTGTTGAGAATTGAAGTTCCTTGCGCCAAACTTTACAAGGCCCTACAATTCAAAGTCGAGGCTAGATGTTACAACCGCTGAGGGCATGGAAGCTCTCGGTATTCACGAATGGCGGCCTCTCGACATTGCGCCCGACGTGCGCCAACACATTTCAATGAAACGAACTCTTATAGCGATGGCTTGGAAATCAGCATTGAATCCTCTCCTGAACCACTGTGGCCATGCATGCAACATTGTGTGGAACACTCCGGAGCTGATGCCAACTAATATCAACGCCACTCTTTGCAGGCCCTAAATGATTTTGCTGCTGGTGCGACGTCGTGTGTATGCACGGTTGCTGGCGTACTTCCCAGGTCCAAAGTAGTCGGATGAGAGAGACCGTAGTTGATGTAGGCGAAACTCGAAATGGTGTTGATGAGTTTCGTGATGTGATGACTAACTACGTAGTGCTCCTCAGAGAAATTGGTTGTGCTTGTTTGAGACGACCGGTGGCCAGGGTAGAAAGCCGGATCGTAGAGGCTGTGCATAGTGAGTGCTGGCACAATTATGCAGGAATTGGATGCGATGAGAGCTGACCTGTCAGCTGCTTCAAGCCTTGTAACTGTCTCGAGGTACCGACCTGTATTATGTACCAGTGTCAGAGGACAGCTGACCTAGGCATCTGCGTTTCTTGACCTTATTTGAAGCACAAGTGAAGTACGAGATGCGCTCGGCGTACTCCGCGGACATCGTTATCCGAGCTATACTGTTACTGCCAGCTTGATCTGTCCAGAATTTGCAGAAATGCCATCACCACCCTGCATCTTCCTGGCAGTGGACTGAAGCGAATCGCGATACATAATAGTGACTCAGCTGCAGAACTCGGGCATTTGCAGAGCGGCTCTCCACTCTGGCAGCACGAATGGTAAATTCTCCGGAGCACAATCTGGTATTTCCTGCTTGATCAGCTTTAACAGCTCCCGGAACAAAACGTCGTATCCCAGCTTAGTGAGATGCAAGCCGTCTGTGAGAAAATCCGAAAGCTGATACTCAGCGTCCGATGGGTTTGCTGGAACATGACAGCACCCAGGAATATGTTGGACACTAGACTCCGGTTTTGACGCGGCATTGACACGATACTCGATGTGGTCACAGCAGCATTCACAGCCCATTGACGCCCTCCAGCCCACTTTTTGCATCAGAATGGTCCAGAAGTCCAGGACGTGTACACCATGGGCCTTTCCAGCCTCCCGCGCTGCTCGAGCGTACTGAGAGGTGATACCCGCCCGACGCTGGAAGGCTCCCGATGGCATCCGCTCGAATTGGTGCTCATTGACCGGTGGGGGCGTGATGAGAATGATGTTTGTTCTCATAGTGTCCTCCTGGTTGAAGACAGGGTACTCCATTACCTTTTGGATCGTATCGACATAAGATTGCAACTCAACGTGCTGACTTTCGCCAGGCACACAAGCATCATTTGCACCAAAGAAGACCGTCACAATCTTGACCTGTGGCCAGGTCGATCTTGGAGTACTGGAAGGCAAGAATCTCTGTAAGGCTCCGAAACCCATAGGTGCAGTGAACCCCGAAAGACCGCGATTGATGACATCGAGACGGCGAATGTACTGTGTTTGTAGGTATGCTTGCAATGTGAGTGTGCCGAACTGCGTTATGCTATCCCCGAATAGAATGAACTGTGGATATTCCGCAAAGCTACCATTAGGTGAATTGTCTAAGGATGCAGTATTAGGTGGTGGCTCAAGCTCGGTCTGAGGCAGTAAGCTTGGTGAAGTGGACATGCTGTTGAGCACGCCTGTGACAGGTCTGGGGTCGTGGTTGATCTTATCCGTGATAGGTAGATACCTGACCATGATATTGAGGAAAGCGACCCGGTCTCATAGCTGGTCAAAGCTGCCAGACCTGCAGGGTAATCTCACATCAGTGCGGAATGCTCGTCGGCTGTTTGACCGTACACTCCGAGGTGAAACTGAACTCCATTCACGGGGTCCGTTCATCCCACTATGCTTGGCGCATGTTTAAAGATCACCCTGTCGCTACAAGGCGACAAGAAGTACAGTCTCGCAATAATTAGTATCCGTGATGAAAACTGTCATGGCGGTCCCCCAGAGAGATGGAACAGCATACGACAGAACACTCTTCTCAAGCTCATTGAATACTTCGGCCTACTCGTACGTTGGTAGCAGAATGTCCGAAGCTCGATCAACATGACTCTCTGGCGTGACTTGCGAGAAGACAGTTTCGTGAAGCTATATCCGCTATATGCAACTAGAAGAATGCTTGGGTTTCAGTTGGTCAGATGAGCACGGCTCGGCAGACCTGAAGAAGCGAAAACATGCCGTGCTACGTCAAGTCAGATCGGCTCCTCCACAGTCGTGCAGCGCCAGATGCATGGCGTATGCATATCATTCTCCAAGCCTCCGAGAAGTCAAATTGTATGGTTGTTATTATGCCGAAAGCAATGACTGACAACAAGCGAGCGAAGACCGATGATATGTGTAACGAATCGACAGCGACGTTTGTATGATTGTATGAAAACAGTTGTCCATGGTGTGCTTGGCAGACAAAGCGTCTGACGTGGTTGCCGAGCCGATTGTGATCGCTTTGCCCACCTCAGGCTTGAGCCACGGTCTCAGCATTGACAATGCATCAGATGATTCCTTCCATTGGCAGATGACTGACCCTCATTAGATACCTAACATCTACACCCTCTCGCCTAAGACTCGTACCTCCTCTGACATCTATTGGTGACAGCGTGTGCCTAAATCATACTATTCCAAAGGCCTTGCAATCGAAGACCCTCTCATCGACCATATCCGTGGTCCTACCTGCACGAGGCGCGCAGACGGCGATGAAGACTTCTTGTACCTGGGCATGATCTATTGAGACTTTTTGAGCAGTGGGCCTGGAGCCGACTCGCTCTTCCCCTCCCTTCCACTGCAGTTGCACCTTCCTGCCATCGACTGTTCCTTATCTGTTGAAGTTGATCCTGGTGACCCAACCCCATCATGCCTGGCTCCAAGTTGTCCTTTGTCGACGATGACAGCAGGAACGAGAACATGAGATCCCCTCTCCTCAGTGTCGACCCTCCTACGCGCCCAGGCATCCCTCGATTAAAGACATCCCTCTCCATGAACGA